GAAGACTCCTCCTCCTGCTGTTTCATTCTTCGAAGCAAGGGTTAAAAACGTATCTTTCCCCCCATTCCCCTTCTCATGCCAGGGGACTCTGGGTAGGTAAGAGGTTTTCTTGCATTGTATGCAGGGCTGTTGCAGAAGCAGTGCAAGTCTCTCTGTCACAGCCAGAGGTCATTTCCTGCGGGAGCGCACAGGAGTGGAATTCCGGCAGTAAGGAGCCCAGGGGGCGGGCACATGCAACAAGCCCCACCCCCTGCTCCCAGCAGCCCTCAGTCAGGCCACGAGAAGCAAGAAGCAGCCAGGTAAGTTGCAGAGCCCCCCCCCGCCCACCTTTAGGTACAAGCTCTCCCTCCTCTGTTGGGACAGATCTGCGTGTGTTCCCCCCCCCCAATGGCTAGCAGTCCAAAACAGTCCAGTGGAGCCTGAGCGGTGGGTGTTGCCTTCTGACACACTTCCGGTGATGTCAGGGGGTGTGGCATATGCAAATGAGTTATGCTATTAAGTTATGTTAATGAGCTTCTGCACCTCTTTTTCTACTAAATGACCCCTGGTCACAGGCCAAGCACAAAGCGAGTAGATGCTCCCTACGCCCCCATGTGCTCCATGGATACTGGGGGTGGGGGCTTTAATGGTGATGACAAGTAATGCCCGGCTAGCCAAGTAAGGATCTGTGGACACCTGAGGGTGGGGAGTCTTTGCAGGAGCTTCTTGGTCTCTTAAAATGTGAAGAAATGAACTCAGCAACACAAACAGATGTTAGCTGTCATTTGGTTGAATCCAGGGACTCTGTGAGGATAACATGTCTAGAACAGCCTATGGCAGAAGACTGAATACTGTTCCTTTCACAACGTCTGGGTGCCGACGCCAGGCTTCAACATGGAAAAGCACGGAGAGAAATCCAGTTAATGCTGTTACTACAAAGACATCTCATACACATATGACAGAATAATCCGGAATACATATTTTGTTGTTAAATGTGAAAAGTATCAAAGTTGAGCCCACTGCCCTTTCAGATCTTCCTACAAATTCAGTAGGTAAGTGGCTGATGACTGAAATGAGGACTTGCTGCAATACCTACACGTAGGGGTCATTTCATAGAAAAAGAGGTGCAGGAGCTCATTAGCATAACTCATTAGCATGACTTATTTGCATATGCCTGGAAGTGTGTCAGAAGGCAACACCCACCGCTCAGGCTCCACTGGACTGCTTTGCATTGCTAGCTATTTTTTGGGGGGGGAACGTGCAGATCTGCCCTCGCAGAGGAGGGAGAGCTTGTACCGGAATAAAACTTGGTCTTAAAGGTGCCACTGGACTATTGGGGGAGGGGGGGGCTCTGCAACTTACCTGGCTGCTTCTTGCTTTGACTGAGGGCTGCTGGGAGCAGGGGGTGGGGCTTGTTGCATGTGCCCGCCCCCTGGGATCTTTACTGCTGGAGCTCCACTCCTGTGTGCTCCTGCAGGAAATGACCCCTGCCTACACGCAGCAGAGGAAGAAGTCCCCAATATTCTAAACATTTTCAGGCTTTGAGGTAGATTATTTTTTCCCTTTAAGCCAAGGCCTCCTGTTTTTCCATTCTGTCAGCTATGCAGTTCTGCAAAACACATTAAACCCCGCTGTAAACATTCTATGAAATAATATGCCTTTTCTAGGAACCTTGAAATAGATGCAACAGACAGGTTGCTTAGCGGGCCTTAGTCTGAAAACAGAAGTAATAGTAGAATATTCTTTAGAGGAAGAATGACTTGGATTAACTCTCTCCCTGTCCACCTGTACCACCAGTTAACATTTTACTATCATTAAGGCCACAGGTAAGTTACTGAAAGGCAAAGAATGACATTGAATTTTAACTTACTATCCATATGGATTTGCTTTCACTCTGCTATGCAGCTTCAACAAGTGGCTTCATTTTGTCTCTTCTTCAAGACTGCATTTTTAGAATGAAAATTTTTTCACTGCCTTTGCGTTAAGTTGTAGACTTAAGAGTTGAGAAAGAATCTGACTCCTGAGATATGAGGAAGGCAGCGGTTACCAGGGGACATTTCATATAAAAAGAGGTGCAGGGGTTCATTAGCATAACTTATTTGCATATGCCACACCCCCTGACATCACCGCAAGTGTGTCAGAAGGCAACAGCCACCGCTCAGGCTCCACTGGACTGTTTTGGATTGCTAGCTAGTAGGGGGGCGGGGGGACATGCAGATCTGTCCTCACAGAGGAGGGAGAGCTTGTACCTGAACAAAACTTGGTCTTAAAGGTGCTACTGGACTGTTTTGGATTGCTAGCTGGGGGTGCTCTCACACAGATCTGTTCAGAAAGAGAGAAAGAAAGAGAAAGGAGGGGAAAAGGGAGAGATGGAAATAAGGAGGGAAAGGGAAAGGAAAGGAGGGGAAAAGGAAAAAAGAAGGGGGAAAAAGAAAAAGGAAAGGAGGAGGGAAAGAAAGAGGGAGAGAAGGAGCAGGGGGTGGGGCTTGTTGCATGTGCCCACCCCCTGGGCTCTTTATTGCCGGAGCCCTGCTCCTGTGCGCTCCTGCAGGAAATGACCCCTGGCGGTTACAGTTTTCACTGGCATGATCCCATCATGCTTATGGAACATCAACCCTATAACTAACAGCTACGGAACACTGCTTTCTGACAAGGAGCTTTGACTCAAGCCCAGTAGTGGCATTCAGGACAGGTTCAGGGTCGTAAGTGATCATTTGTTTTATATAAAGGATAATTAACGGTGAGCAACACAACAGCTACCCGCCATTAATGACTCTCCATTTTCCTTTGACGATGACAACAATACAGCAGTCATATAAAAGTGAGCTATACCCTGAACTCTTTTTTATATTCTCAGTGGCTGTGGCTGATGGGTGTAATGTCTTCCCAGTGACAGACTAATGGGCTTGAATTAACTGTGCAGTTACACCTGATGAGGCGTCACTTAATTTAGTACTGGCATCTATCTGTTGGTGACAGTAGTGTCCCTTTTCTTTAGGAGTTCAAAACAACACTGGACACCACACTTCCCATGGTAGCTCTGATAGGACAGAAGAGTGCCCGTTCGAAATACGGTTTCAAGTACATGAGTTATGTTCCCACCAGCACGGATCTGCCGTTACGGCGGTACTACTATGACAGCTGACGCGTTGATGAAAGGAGTCAAAGACAGGCTTGGCTTGCACAACTTCTTTGAATACACTGTGTTGCAGCCTGTCTGACAAGAACTTTCGTGGCTTGCAACTCTAATTGTAAGGTGCTTTTTTTGGTGTCTACTTACCTATCCCGAAAGGGCTGAATGCCACAATGAAGGGCTGTGGGAGGCAGAAGGAAGGAATAGCACATTGTTGTATTATAAATAGGTTTCCAAGTAGAATGTGATCATGGCTGAATGCTGGGTTTAACAGAGGAACTCTGAGAGCCAGTTTGGTGTTGTGGTGAAGTGTGCGGTCTCTAATCTGGGAGAACCAGGTTTGATTCCCCACTCCTCCGCTCGCACCTGGCTGGATGACCTTGGGCAAGCCGTAGTTCTGATAAGAGCTGTTCTTGAAAAAGAGCAGTTTCTGTCAGAGCTCTCTCAGCCCCACCTACCTCACAGGGTGTCTGTTGTGGGGAGGGGAAGGGAAAGGAGTTTGTCAGCCGCTCTGAGACACCTTTGGGTGGTGAAGGGCGGGGTATAAATCCAATCTCTTCTTCTTCTTCTTTTACAAGTCAATGGGAAATAAGCAAATAATTTGGTATTTGGGCCAAGGAGGGCCTGGCGTGATGTGGTCCATGGGGTCATGAAGAGTCGGTCTTGACTGTGCGACTGAACAACAACAACAAAAAGCTATGTATTTAAATGCGGAATTACCCCACAGTGCAATCCTATGTAGAGTTACGCCCTAATGGACATAGAAGGGTGTAACTCTGCATTGGATTGTACTGCCCGTCATATAGAAAGAAGGTGCAAAGGTGAAGAGGCTTCAGGAGGGTTTTTTTGATTCAGCAGAAGGTTTGGACTAACCATTCTTTATTTTTATACTTGGTTCTTTGTAGTGTTCTTATTGCACACTGTACAGGGGTAAGCTCCCTGTCCTTGATGAAGCCTGGAAAATAAATTACATTGTTTATATCAATCTAAAACTGATCTGCAAAAAAAAAAAAAAGTTACAGAACATTTGGTTGCAAGTGTACCTCTGTTGCGAAAAGCCACAACACACATGAAATAAACGAGTGATTCTTCTGGGATCAACCACACCCACTGAAAAACACATCTTTTGGTTCGGAGGACATACAAGCTACCCACCCAGGTACATCTGTGTGACAGCCATCCTGAGCAAGTGCCCACGATTTCTTGTAAGCACCCTTACCGCAAGTCGATGTGATAAAATCCTTCTGATTACAACCTCCGTCCGTTTC